TGCTGCTCCTGCTGCAGCTGAATTGGTGTCCCCACCGCCTCCACCGCCTGTTGGGGTGAATCAGGCTGTGGCTGCTGCTGCGACGAGCTGGGCGGCAGCTGTTGCTGCAACCTCTGCTGGAGCTGCTGCTGCAGCTGGAGCTGCTGGTGCTGCTGCAGGAGCCCGTGCTGTTGCAAGTACTGATGCAGGGACTGCAGGTCCTCCTGCTGCAGCAGAGACGTCATCAAGGCGATCTGCTCATCCAAACTTCGGCCAGACCCCATCTGCGGCGCTTCTGCTTCCCTCCCTGTGTGTTCCTGCGGCACCTGCTGCTGCTGCGCCTGCTGCACCTGCTGCGCCTGCTGCGCCTGCCGTTGCTGCAGCTGCAGCAGCAGCTGCTGCTGCTGCTCTATCTCCCTTTGCTGGTTTTGCTGCACTATGCACTGATGCTGCAGCTTTTCTTGCTGCTGCATTTGTTCCTGCTGCTGCAGCACCTCTTGCTGCTGCAGTCTCTCTTGCTGCTGCAGNGTTGTTGCTGCAGCTGCAGCTGCTGCAGCTCTTGCAGAGCGTTTGCCTTATCTTCCATTGTATACTTAAAGTGCAACACCAACTCCCTTGCGAATTTCGCTCGAGCTTCATCGGACAGCTGCTGCTGCAGCGCCTGCTGTCGCAGCAGCTGCTGCAAGACCTGGTGCTGCTCTTGCGGGGGGTACTGCTCCAGTAGTTGCTGCTGCTGCTGCGCCACCTGCCCCTGCAGTATCGACTGCTGCTGGTTCTGCTGGTGCTGCTGTTCCAGCTGTAACATGAGCTGCCTATGCCGTATAAGCAGCTGCTCGTGCTGTTCTGCCAGGCTGCTCCCCTGCTCCTGCTCCTCCTGCTGCTGCTGCTGTTGCTGTAGTAGACGCTGCTGCAATCGTAGCTGCTGATCAAGCTGCTCATGTGATTGGCCAAACGCCGACTCTTGCTGCACCCGCTGCGCAGTCCGCCGTCGTCCTTGTTGGCGTGGCAGTTGCTGCAGTAGCAGCGGTAATAGCAACTGCTGCTGCAGCTGCAGCGGCAGCGGTTGCGCTGGCCCCTGTTGTTGCTCCGGTGTCTGTTGTTGTTGTTGCTGCAGTTGTAGTTGTTGCTGTTGCTGCTCCTCCTGCTCCTGCTGTTGTTGTTGTCGCTGCTGCTCCTGCTGCTCCTGCTGCTNCTGCTGCTCCTGCTGCTCCTGCTGCTGGCGTTGCAGCTGCTCTCGCCTCAGCCTCTGCCGTCGTAACTGCTGCTGCTGCCGCTGCCGCTGCCGCCGCTGTTGCTGCAGCTCCAGCCTCTGCTGTTGCTCTTGCTGGTGTTGCCCCAGCAGGACCTGCTCACGTTGCAGCAACAGCTGCTGCTGCTGTTGCTGCAGCAACAGCTGCTGCTGCTGTTGCTGCAGCAGCAGCTGCTGCTGTTGTTGTTGTAGCAGCTGCAATTCAGAAGGATCGCCCTCACCGTGTGCACCCGGCAAATCAGTCGTTGGTTCTGCTGTTGCTGCTGACACGTCTGCAGATACTGCAGGTGTTGTGGGCTCTGCTGTTGCTGCTGCTTGTGCTTCTGCTGCCGCTGCTGCTGCTGCTGCTGCTGCCCTCTGAGCGCTCAGAATCCGGCGCAGGCTCCCAACCAGGTCCGACACGCTGGGAGTGTCCTGCAGCAGTAGCAGCAGCAGCAGCGTACGTAGCAGCAGCAGCAGCAGCAGCAGAATATTTGAGCAGAGTGAATGCAGCTATAAATATAAACACGCTTTTCAGGTGTAATCACTCAGACAAAAAAGTTAATGAAGGAACAAACAGAATCAAGAGCTGCCTATACACTGCAACTGAAACAGACAGAACCATGACTGCAACACATCCCACTGCTTCGCAGCAGGAATACTGCAGCGTCTGCTGCTGCAGCTGCAGCAGCTGCAGCAACTGCTGCAAGGCATCGGATGGTTCTGCTTGGTGACTCTGTGATTGCACTGTCTGCAGTGAGGGAGAACTCACGCCGTCCATGCTGGTCAGCAGAGGAGTCAATTTCACGCCATTTATCACTTCTGCTGCAGCTGTAGTTGCAGTTGCTGTTGCTGCTGTTGCTGCTGCAGCTGCTGCTGCTAATCGAGTTATGTATGAAAGGACAAGACAGATGTGCGCTGATGCATGCCACAGAGGAGAGAAAGGAGAATAGCAGCAATCGGTAGCGAAACTGCTGCAGGGCTCGGTGGGGGTGCTGGCTACCCCTGTCAACTGCGATGAGGCTGATGCTGCTGCTGCCGCTGTTGTTGTTGCTGCTGCTGCCTCATAATGAAAAGACGAAAGAATGGCAAAAGGACCATAAGGGAAATACCTGTTCACTGCCTCAATACCTGTTGCTGCTGCTGCTGCCGCTGTTGCTGCTGTCAGCAGCAAGCTCCACGGTTGCGCTGCCGGCGTTGCTGGTGTTGCTGCTGTTGTCTGAAGCGGTTCTTCTGAAGACTGTCTACTTGATGCGATGGGAAACAAATGTGTTGGTGGTGGTGCTGCTGCTGCTGTTGCTGCTGTAGGAGCTGTTGCTGCAGCTGCGAAGACACCTGAAACGACCAGCGCAGGAATACAGGGATAAATTGGATTGACAGGGACTACACAACCTACTGAAGAAAAGCCAAAGCGATTAAAAACTTCAAATAACTTCAAAACCAGCTGATGGCTTCCGTTGCTTCTGTGGCAGACACTGTTGCTGCTGCTGCTGCTGCTGCTGCTATTGCTGCTGATGGATCGGTAGTCGCTGGCGCTGCTGCTGCTGCTGCAGACGCAAAGGCAGCAGCACATTTGCAGCCTTTTTTAATATTACTCTGGTGAATTGATGCATTTAATCGATTCTTTCAAGAGCGTTTCAATAGAAGAACGCGCCGGAGCAGCAGCAAGACTGGCCTCTCCGCTGGGCAGACCTAGACACCGCCGCCGGCGATCGGGGGCCCCACTAGCTGTGTCTTTTTGTGTTATTTCCCCTTCGTCTATTTAATAAAAATAATTGAAAGGGTATTTTGGGTTTATATTGCTTATAAGCCGCATGAGATTGTCCTAAAAGAGTCTGCGGGGGCCCTCTTCTGCTGCAGCGGGCGGCAGCGGCTGTCACAACGTGAAATATGAAGTATGCAAAATAGCCGCAACAGAGAATTCACTGACTGCTTGCAAATTAGAAACTAACTTGAATTAAAATATAAAATATATAAATGGAGATAGAAGTCAAATACATACAAAAGATGTATTTCTTCCGCACAAACCACATGGGCTGTAGCGCTTGCTCTACAGCCGTATACAAGGAGAGAAGCGCGCTGCAATGAAGGTAAACACTTGAAGTAAGAGTTTCTCCAAAAGCATCTGAGCGCCTTCCCCTGTCCGCAGGCGTCCTCCTCTTTGAGCTCAGGGCCTGGGTATTGCGGTGAGGAGGTCGCCTAAGATGGAGTTGCAGCGCACCTCGCTGCAGCTCGTAATGCAAGTCAGCGTCACGTGTGAGCAGAAGAAAGCTTCAAAGAAGCTTCCTTTGTTACATTCTTTACCTCTGAATACAATTGTGGAACGTTTGGATCTGCTTGCACGCAACCTGCCAAGGCCAAGTGACGGTTACTGCTCTAACTGCTTGCAGAGCACGCTACATCTTCCACCCGATCAGGCAAAAAGCACATCTCCTCGTGTTCATATGCCCCTGTTGGAGGCAATATAGCTGGTTTGTGCCATCTGCTGCAGGTGCCGGTGTTGCTCTTGAGGTTTCTGCTCCTGTGTCTCCCGCCCCTTCGTCTGCTGAGTGTGCTGCACGTTCATTAATGTACTTGCTCCTGCGCATGTAATTTAGTTTCTGTCTAGACCAGGGATGCAGGGGAGCACCGGGATGGCGATTGCAGTGCAGTATTATAAACCCATTCTGCACAAGCAAAACAGTCAACCAAGTTAGATGAGTTCTGTTGGGTGCAAACTCGCAAATACAGCACCAGCGTTCGNAAGCAAAACAGTCAACCAAGTTAGATGAGTTCTGTTGGGTGCAAACTCGCAAATACAGCACCAGCGTTCGGTCTGAGCATGTGCATGCAGATGGTTGGCGGTGGTCATTTTGTGGGCAATTTTGCGCCGTTGCATGAGACTGCGCCAGAAGGCGCGAACGAAGTTCGTATCCCTGCCGGTAACGATGCTGCTTTTTGGGAGCCCAGGGAGCTTCCACACATGATTGATGAATAGCTGAGCCAATCCATCTACTGTGACCGTGCTCAAGCAGGGAATAAAATTAGGGCATTTGCTATGTCGATACAAAACGACCTAGATACTCTCACGGCTCCTGAATGGTGGTAGGCCCATTATGAAATCCATGGATATTTCAGTCCAGATCCTTTCGGGAATTTGCAAGTTTTGCCGGAGTCCAGGTTTGACAGTGTTGCGCGCCTTTTGCTTGCAGTCCAGACAAGGAAGGACGTATTTCTCGGCTTCGTGGTGCATCCTAAGCAACCAAAAGGACCTGGCAGCACGCTTCACCGTTGTATTGACCCCACCACGACCTGCTAACGCACGATCATGCAATATGCGCAAAACGTTCACGCGAAGCGAAACTCGAACGTACAATCGACGGATTCCACACTTCGTCTGAAACCACAGGAGGTCGCCATCGATGCTGTAGCACATGACCTGTCGCCTGTTGTTGAGTTTAGCAACGGTCTCAACGGCGTGAGTATCTAAGGAATAAGAAGAACGCAATTTGGAAACGAAACGAGAATCATCACAGCGCAGTAGCGGAACACTATACCTGACCTATAGGGCATCTGGAGAGTGCATCCGCGAACGCATTCGTAATTCGCTTGATCTACTTGACGGTGAAGTGGTACGTCAGCCGGGAGTGCCATCAAGCAATTCTTTCAGTATCTTAGTCTTGAAAACTCTTTTTACGGCCTTGTCAGG